GGCCTAGGCCGCGCCGCTTGACGAAAAAGGCGGGCAACGGTTTCCTGGAGTCTCCAAGCGTTTTGGAAAAAGTGCCCTCGAGGCCTTTAGCTGGAATGATAAGGAGAGGTTGGCTGCTAGACCCCAGATCAGATGAGGGTCTGCCCCGAATGCCGAACAACAAACCCACTGGAAACCAAGGGCTTTTCATCCGCACCAAGTGCCCGCAGGCCGCAAAGGGTGACTCCGTTCATGTCCCCGAAGTCCAGTTAAAACACTCTGGGAATGATTCTTGCTCCAACGGGAATCCCCGTCAGAGCTAAACGAAGTGACCGGGAAGCCCCGCTGCTTTCCTTGTAAGGGCTGCGCTTCCCCGTGCCCTGAAGGGGCTCCTGCCTGGGTCCTCCGGCCTTTTCCTCTCCCAAATCTTGCCACCTCCATAGACGGTCGGCCTCCCGGCGAGTTCGTCCCCCCGATATAGTTTCTTGCCATTTACGGTCCTTGCCAGGGCCTACACATCACGAAGTGCTTCGGTGGCACGGGCTTGGGCCGGTGATTGCGGTCGCTCGGGCCGGGGCAAAAACGTTCGCTTTCACTAGAGAAAGCTGCTTTGGACGCCAGCGCTTTTAACGGGAGCCCTGTTTGCTTTTCAGCTGCCACTGCAGGGCTGATGAAACAGCCCGTGTGAGGATGGATTTAGATTTTGAACGCGCGAGAACCGCATTCGGGTCTTTCTCGCCCTCTCTTTGCTCGGATTTGAATTCGAAGTCCCATTTCCAAAGTTGGGGACTCGTCGGTGGGAAGTACGATTTATTTCATGAGCCCGTAATTGGCAGCCCTTGCTCCCTAACCTCTCCTTCATGCTAATCAGCCGCTATTCTTTCATCAATATTCCTTATTATTGTGATTCATTGTCCCCACAAATCCAGGTGGTTCCCATTAAGTTGCCTTGTCCCTCAAGCCACATCACACAGAACACGACGGAGCGCTGCTTTGAAAATACGCCTCTGACTGAAAGGTGGTTGGAAATTCTGCTAACATTTAATCATTCGCCATCCTTACCGCTGTGACCACCCTCATTTTAATGGGTCCCAAAGGCGAAGATCACAGGGAAGGTGATCGGGACGTTTCTCTCACTTTGAAAGGGACGATGATCGCTTATCATTTGGGCTTCTTTATTTTATAGTGAAAATAGCATAAATAATATCGAACGTTAACTTTAATTAATTTGTAAATTAAGTTAGTGTGATTTCCTTGTGATTTCCTTTAAATATGGTTAGGGATTACCCATTCCTTGATGTTAACACAACTGCGTCGAGGGAAAAAAAAATCTCTGATTTTCAATGACCGTTCTCGTCTCCATCAAATGGTAGCAATCATGGATCCCAAGCATCTGGTTTAAAGATTCAGACACAAGGGCTAGAATCAGCTGATTCCGCAGCGCAGAGCTATTAGAGGCATCCAACCGCGCAAATGGTTATTCAGAACAGATCCAGGCCAGGTGTCGGGAATATTTCCTTATGAGAGGCCCTCCTTCGTCCTCCCTGTTTCCCCAATTTATCATCCCGAAAGCGGGTAATAGACATCTTCCGGTACAGGTGAATGAATATTTGGCTATTGCCGACGGTTGACCGAGGCCATTCAGGGCTCTGCCCGGCTTTGCCTAGTTTTTCTCTTAGCCTCTCACCGAGTTCCCCACTGGAAAATAAGCGCGTAAAGCTCACTAGCCTGTCCCGTCGCTCTCCACTTGAAGAGGGTCCCTTTGGGCTCATCCTGGAACGCTCCATTGTTTAGGATATTTTTTAAAAAGGCAGGCGGAATCGGGGCCACTTAATTCTTCTCCCATTTTCCCTTGACCAAAAAAAAAAAAAAAAAAAACGGGGGGGGGATCGTTATGTGGGTGTTGGGGCTTCCCTCTTCGAGCGGTTCAACCCCAAGAGATTTCAGCTTACCTCCGCTTTACCATTTCTATCTTTCTATTTTTTTATTTTAAGTACTCACTTGGGCCAAAAACCTACTTACCACTCATTTGCCCTTCATAAAAAAGAAGACATCCTACAGACAAATCAGTTATTGAAACTTCCTTGGAAAGAGAATGGTTGAAAGCTCCAGGGCCTACATTTCCCATCTTCCTAGCTTGACTTTAATAAAGCCACAACTCCATTCCCCTGGAGATAGGCCACCTGAACTGGACTGCAAATATGTCAGTGAGCATAAAAAGGCTCCGTTGCCAATGCGCTTGCGTGAGCAAAGGTGCTTGGGACGGATAGAAACGCCTTCTCAAGTTCTTAGTCAAGGTGGAGATGGGCTTGTCCCCTTTTCAACACATTTCTGAAAAAGGCACTGTAGAGAAAAAGGCTCCCACACACCATAGACCACCCGGTTAATTTTTTTTTAGCTGTAAGGTTGGATCCTGGGCATCTAGTCGGCCGCGCAATTGAACAACCAACTTTACAGTGTCTTCCGACGTTCCTTCTCCAACAGCGAACATGTCGGAAATTCAGTAGAATTCTGTTGGACTCTGGGACCTGGCTAGTTATCTAACAGAGTGAGTGAAGCCAGAAAACAAGGTAGACAGGACGATCTCGTTGCTCTTCTGGCGATGGGTGGCTTATTAACATAACCTCATCCCCCATCGTTTTTCCTCTCTAGGTCCAAATCCAATCTTTTTGAACTAATCGAAAAGGCTGTTTGTGCATCTCACCCTGTTTGTGCATTTCATGCTGGAAATGTAAAGCAGCAATAGGATCATATTACCATATGTGGTGGGAATGCCCAAAGACTCGTGAGTATTGGAACAGGACACAGAACTGGTTGAGGGATATATTAACATTGGACTTAGAGTTAAAACCTGAACTCTTCTTGTTGGGAATAATGACAGAAAAATACGACAAGGGAACAATCTACCTGCTGCTACACATCCTGACTGCAGCTAGGCTTGCTTTTGCGCAAAAATGGAAGAGCAAGGAAATTCCCACAGAGGAAGAGTTAATACATAAAATATTAGCATGTGCGGAAATGGACAGGCTCACAATGATATTAAAAGACAAATGTGGATCAGTTTATTATGAAACCTGGGATAAATTTTACCGCTGGAGGAATTCGAAGAGGACGGTAGGGATTAAAGTTGAATGTTAAGATAGAAATATATGTTATTTTAGAATAAGTATTGTATATAAAACTTAGATGTATATGTAGAGATGAAGAATTGATTGTAAAAAGTGGAATAATCTGATAAGAATGTATATACTGGAATGTCACGTTAAATCCAATGTTTGTTTCTTTTTAACTGTATTATAAATAAAATTTGAAAAAAAAAGAAAAGAAAAGGCTGTTTGTGGAAGCAGAAAAGTGAGGTAGAGAAAGACAGCAATGGTATTTCTTTTTTCTAGTCGCTCGCTAAGAAACGTAGCAAGGAAAGGCAATCCCGGGTGCAAAGACAAAGATGTCGAAAGACACGGGTTTCCGATTCCCATTGAAAGTCAAGAGCTACTAAAGTTGCGGGTGGGGGGCGGAGGGGAGGAGAGTGTTACAGGATAAGTACAGGATAAAAACTCCTCAGCAGTAGTTTATAGGGTGCTGAAATAAGTGCAACTCCAGCTATTCCCAGCCTATTTAAATAACTAGGATTTTTAAAGCGATCAGCAAATTTTAAGAAGGCAGTGATTAGTCGGAGGAGATAGATGAGGAGGCATGAAAGCACATCTCCTGATAATCCAAAGATCATCCCAAATTCTAAATAATTTTCTTGAAAAATGGGACGTGGAGTCGAAATGTATATTTAGGACTACTTTTATACATAACTTTATATTTAAGGTCGCTAATCACACACCTTAAAAAGCTGGTTTGTTTCTCCCGTCTCCAAGCAGAGACCTTTTTCGGGGCTGAAAAGGCAGTTGGGGTGACATTAAAGGATGTTTTTATAAGGGGGGAGGAAACTGGCGGAGGGAAGATAGAGAGATAATTCTGTTTTCACTTTCCTTATCGCCAATGTGTTCTCCCAGAAGAACCGCCTAAGCAAACACTTGCTTTCCATTTTAACCACTTCTGTAACGTATAAATGAGAACGAATCGGGGATAAGTTATTCATGAATTCCATGCGCCTAATTAAATGCCACTAACACAAAGTTAGCTCAGAAGTTCAAGGCCGAAGACTTGAGCTGTCTATCTGGAAAGGGGGGGGGGAGCTTTGTTTGGGGATGCTAAATGTGATTACTGTGCTCTTTCCGAGGCATTTGGGCAGAACAGGAGAAACGGAGCAAAACAGAATTAGGGGTCAACCTTTGCTCCGAGATTAGAAACCAACCACGCAAACAAACGGTCTTTTCTGCCTCCAATATCCCTCCAGATTTTCACAGCTTTTTCTTTCTGAAAGAGAATACGTAATTTTGAAATAAAATTCCTCCCCAATTCCAGGACATTACTTCCAAGCCACGCTTCTTCGGTTACAAAAATAAGAAACAGCTAAGTTATGAAAGCAATATATTAATCATATTTTAGTTCGTTTTAAATCGCAGGAAAAAGCTGTCAGGTTTATAGTAGCCGACTGTTCATCCCAGAAAGGGACGTTCAGCTCAGCAGCGTGTGAATCCATTCGATCCTTAGGCCGTTTGCAAAGTCTCCTTCTCCCCGTGAAATCAGACCGTGGGCGGCGCGTCTCCTTCCCGGAGGCTTCCTCCGGGAGATTTGGCGATGCCCTTTCCCTGCCTCCGTCGCTTCTCCCCGTGTGGGAGCCCGTGGACTTCCACTTCAGCCTACGGATCCAGAAGGAAGCCCTGAATCGCCACCGCTCTGCTTTGCGAAGGAGGAAGGAGAGGAAGGAGGCAGACCCCGCGCCCAACTTTAAGACCCCCGAGAACTTGGAGGGATACGCCGAAAGGAGCCGCGCCGGGATTCCCGGCCCAGAGGGCCGTGCCCGAGGCGGTCCAGAGAAGCAACCCGCCAGGGCTGCTTTCCGCAAGGAGGAGCGGCTAGACCTCTTGCCCCGTCAGCCCCCGGCCCCGACCGATCGGGTGACTCACCGAAGCAAGAAAGCTGCAGGGCTCCGTTGTGGGCGCTGGCGTCCTGCAGCTTGAGGTTGCTGCTCGGGGGGCTTTTACAAGAGCCGCGCTGCCCGTAGAGCGGCGGCTGCTGCTGCTGCTGCTGCTGCAAGTGGTACTTGTTAAAGGCGGTGGTGGCGGAGGCAGCGGCGGTCGGGAGAGCCTGTGGCTGCTGCGCGCCGCTGCCGTCCAGAGACGGACATTCCGGCTGGCTGTAGCGGCTCCGGCGCTTGGGGCTGTTGTTGCTGCCGCCGCCGCCGCCGCCGCTGCTGCTGCCGCCCCCGCCGCTGTCTCCAAAGCTTTGTCCTTTGCCGGCCAGGAAAGCGGAGCCGAATTTGTCGCTGCTGCCGGGAAATGCCCTAAAAGGCGAGGAGCCGTCGACGCTGCCTTGCGAGGCGGCGTTGTAGAAGGAATCCATGCTAGCAGCCGACGGGTCGCAGAAAGACACGCAACTCTCAGCATTCATGCCTAAAATTAAAAGGCCCCGGCAGGCAGTGTCCTCATGCAACGCCAGAGAGCCTTTCTCTGGCTTCCCCCCACCCTTCCTTCCACACACACACACACACACATACACACCCCACACGCTCAGACACACATACACACTCACCGTCACACGCAGCCACACACCCGCACACAGACGGCTGGGCTAGCCAGCACTAAGCAGAGTCAGATGTTCTCCGGAGCTGAGCAGATCCGTCCCACCCCCAGTAAAAGGGGAAAGGGGCTCACCGAGAGGGGAGGGAGGAGAGAGAGAGCAGGAGACATTCCTCCGAAGGAGCTCTTCCTTCAGCCCCTCTTTTCTCCTTTCCCCCGGTTTTTTTCCTCCTCCTCCTCCTCCTCCTCCTCCTCCTCCTCCTCCTCCTCCTCCTCCTCCTCCTCCTCCTCCTCCTCGTCCTCCTCTTCTCGGCACCCCCGAGCCAAGACGTCGGCTCTCCCGTCCGGCGATGCCCAATCCATCCGTGCAAAGAACGGCAGGCGGGAAGGGAAAAAAAAAAAAAAAAAAAGAGGGCAGCCCTTTTTTTTATTTGTTTGTTGCTTTTGCATTATTTGTTGGTTTTTAAATACCCATTAGAAAGCAATACACTATAGAAGCCAGGAGGCCACATGGCGATGATGCAATTGGGGCTGCCGGTTCAGATCTGCGCGGGGCGGAAGAGCCGGCCGACTCCAAGGCGTCCCTCCGGGCATTCCTGGGCTGATTCCTCCGGCCTTCTTTCCCCACTTCTGCTGAGCTGCAGCCCGGGAGCTCTTCTCCTGCCCCAGCTGTACTTTCCCTTGGGGAGTCTCTCTCTCTCTCTCTCTCTCTGTCTAACTCCAACTCCTCGCTTCCCAATTTGGTTGAGTTTGTTGACCGGGAAAAATGATCGTCGACGTCGGAGGGTCATTTGGCCAGTTTTGCTAAGGCAGCCTACCGCCTTGCTGGCTTTGACTGCTGTCTTTCCCAAGTCTGGTGTGGAAAACAGCCGGGGAACAGGTACACGCATTCAACCGGAGGAGCTTTCAAGGGAAAGAAGAAAAAGCTTCATCGGTTGGTTGTCCGCCTGGATCGAATTTTAGTTAACAAAGGGGCGCAATTTCTTAGAATGGAAAGGAACGGGGATGGTGGTGGTCTTCCCTACTATCCTCCCCCACCGATCCAAGTAGGCAAATCCCGATAGTGGTTTTTTCTTTTAGCAAATGTTCGTCCAGCGACTTGGATGCCGGAAAGAGATTCTGTCCTCCGTTTCCCAAGGTGCTTTGGAGGTTTACGTTTTGGGGAACCCACTTCTCCAGGCCTCCGAAATGGATCCAGGAAATACACACACACACACACACACACACACACACACACACACACACACACACACACACACACCGACTCCTTCTTTAACTCCTGCTGCCCCTTTACGCTCCATTCTCTCCATCTGTAGTCTCTCTTTTTCCATTCCGACATCTGGTTTCCATTGCGTCTCTCTCTTTCTACCTTGAAGTTTTCAGTAATAAAGATATTACGCAAACGGGATCCGCGGCTTCTCGGTCAAAAGCACCCTTAACCCTTTCTTCGCGCGGCCTTTGCTACACTTATTTCACTCACCAGGGAGGGATAATGATCAGCACCATCTATTCTGAGGTCGTTTTTTTTTTTTTTTAAAAAAGAAGCCCGGTTATTTAAAAACGAGGGCGACGGGAGAGCTCGAGACGAGACGATTCCCCCCCCCTCCCCGGGAAACAGATGGGGTAGAAAAAGAAAATTATTATCTAAAGGGCAAAAAGTGTGTGGGAAGCCCTGCTCGGGGAGAGAAGTGGGAATCAGAGGGTTGATCCAAATCCATCTCTCGAGGCTGACCGAAGGGAACCAATATTTCGGAAGGTCTGGGAATTTAACCCGATCTGGGATCTTAACAGAGCCGGACAGTAGCGCCTGGGCTGGAAATGGAACTGCACCAATGGCGGAACGGGTCGCCAGGCGCCTGAACCGAGGGGGATCCTGGTGCATCTCAGCCGAGAGATCTTAGTACGGTCTCACTGACTTGTTTCGCCTTCAAGCTAGGCACCTGTTTGAACATCTGGGCCTGACTGGGAAACGGCACGTTTGCATTATCCACTTGACTGGGTTGTATGTGTCTCATGGGGAGGGGGTCGCCAAGTCCGGGGCCTGGGCAGTTTGATGGTTCGGATTGGGGCATGGGGGGCGGGAGGAGGTCTCTTGCAACCGGCCTTAGTCGACAGGGACGGTTGGACAAGGATCTGGAGGGATGCACCTGTAGCCCAATTTATTACCCCTTCCTTCCCCTCTCGGGGACTCGTTTTCTTCCTGAGAAGTCAGCAAGTGGAGTCGCTGTTTCTCGGTTTAAGACCCCGTCGGATGGTCTTGCTAGCAGCAGCCCCAAATGTTTAAGGGAAGAGGTTTTCAAACAGCCCCAACGTCCCTTCTTGGGCAGAGTTTTGGCCCGGTTTCTGATCCAAGAAAGCTTTCAGCGGCTTTTCTTGCTTTCGTCTCTTTATTACCTGCTTAATTCTTTCCTCGTTTTTGGGGCCTCCCCCTCTCCCCCCCTCTCGCTCACCCTCTCTCGTATGACTTAATAAAAACCAAATCAGCTCCATGGTGCGTTCGAGCTTTTCTAAAACCACTTCTGGGCAGGCGAGGGAAATCCTCCGAGAAAAGGCAAGTTGGGCGATCTTGAGTTTGGAGGGGGGGGGTCGGTCCGGGGAAAGGGGGGGGGGTTGGTGGGAATCGCTCTGTTTTTCGTACAGCGGGACTTCCGCAGCTGCGGCAGACTTAGAAGAGGGCAGAAGACTAGGGCGGGCTAGCTTTTTCAATGGATTTTCAAACTCTCTTGGCTTCTGGTACACTTTTTTTAGGCGGGAGTTCAAGCTCTCTTAGCTACAGCCCAACACTAAAACGAGCAGCTTGTGAGCTCCGCTGAAAACTGCGAAGCTTTTGATTGACGGGACAATTGGTTTTGCTTTGTTTAAAGAGGACTTTAGTTTCCGTTAATATATATATATATATATATTGCTGGAGCGGAAGGAAAAAAAATTCAAAGAAAGAACAGCAAGAAAGACAGAGCATTCTTAATAATACCAAACTTTTCCCTTATCTCAGATACCAAAGTCAGACTTGAGCTTATTTAGCGGGAGAAGCATCCGTAGGTGGCGGAAGTTTTCAAACTGGAAAAATCGAGTTCTTAAAAGGGCATTGATAAATACATTTGGCTTAAGATTTAGGGGCAGTATTTTGAGTCGATAAACATTATATTCAGGATCTGGAGAGGGAGGGGGGATCCGAGCCCTTGAACAGTGCAAGCAAATTAAGTGGCACAGCACGCCTCGCTATGGGTTCAGTGGTCCGGGGGAGGTCCTGTTCCCCATACTGTGGCTTTTTGCCAGAGCAACGGGACTTGCCTAAGAAATGCAGCGGAACTAGGCAAACGAACATCCTCTTTGGGGAAAGATGACATTCCAGTAAATGTCGCGGCTGTTACACTCGAAGTTATTGGTTTCGGTCTGTGAAAGGTCTTCCTTAGCCTTCTCCTAAATTGGTTTACCTGATTGGGACTAAAGAGAATGAAAGAAAAGGAGAGATAGATGGGCACTGGAGGATAAGGTTCTTGTGCTGAGACCAAAATGAGCTAACGTCCTTGGCAGGATATTGATTGTAAGAATGGTCCATTTTCATTTTCCTGATTATCCCAGAACGTACAAGCAGTCATTTTACTTCTTCAAAATAATAGCAAGTAAAGCTTTTTCCTTCCCATTTGTAATCCCCTTTCTTTTCTTTTAATTTTTTTTTAAAGTTGGCTGGCCACCAATGCTTTCTTATGGCTCCTTTAACTCTAATGATCAGTTGTTGTTGTTTTTCCTACGGTGGCACACACGATTTCAGGAAATGAGGGTGAAATAAAGTTTCTTTTATAACTTAATTGGAAGCACAGGCGTCTCTTTGAGATTTTTTTTTTAAATTATTGCACGGCCAGGTTACTCTTTAAAAATTAAACTTTGAAAAACAATTTCAAAGGATCTGCTATTGTCCAAATATCCCAGCAAGAAGAGCTGTCTAGCAGGCAGCCTGGAAGAGCGGGGCCTGAGCTTATGGGGAGCAGCTGTGTCGGATTCGTGCATTTTAACTGGGAACTCGCCAGTCTGCTAGGCTCATCTAGCAATCCAAGGATAGAACTTCTATGCAATTGAACTTCGGGACGCATCGCTGGCTGGGAAAGAAAAACAGCCCGATTTCTTTTAAAAAAACAAAACAAAACAACAGCCGCGACGACAACAAAGCCCTCTTCCCCTCCCGCAGTGATGAGCGCATCCAGGTTCTTAATCAAATTCAGGATACTTCGGTCCTCTGCGCGAAAAACATCCAGCGCTTTAAAGAAACTGGAGAGAAGAAAATCTATCCCATTCCGCCGACACAATTCTCATCTCTGCGATCATTACCCCCAAAAATGGAGGGATGTTTGTGTGAGAAGGCGAGATCCTTAGCGCGCTTGTTAAGTCTCCTTAAACCGAAGTGATAGTGCAGGAATTAGGGCGCCCCTGTGCAATTCCCCATTTCTTTCAGATGGGACTTGCTCTCCGCTGTTTAATGAGTTTGCGTTTCAGGCTGTCTATTTATTGGTGTCTATTCAGAATTAAACCCTCCCGATTTTACCGGACGTGCAGTTCCTTTAAGTCTCCCTTTCTCTCTCATTCTCTTTCTTTTTTTTTTTTTTCATCGAGGATATTGTGGAAAGCGATGGAAGAATTAAGCAAGCAAATGGTCCCAAACCCGTAAAAATGCCTAAAATACAGCATCAGTAACCCAATGGACAACAGGACTAACAGAGTATTGGAAAACCAGTGCTCCTGTGGCGAATCTATCTTAAAGTAACAATAAGAATTTTAAACGTTGTAAGTTGGAAACGACCATCTCGGTCCAAATCACCCATCTTGTTTTACATTGGCTTGGGATTCTTAAACCTGACCCTTGGTCCTGCTGTGGGAATGTCACCATTTGGGTAAAATCTCAGCGGTAACCCTCAAACTAAAGGTGGTTGTCACTGGCTTATCTTGTATAGTCCAGACTCCACCGCTCCCAACGCAATCGGTCCACCAAATCCGGAATATAAATTCCGCAGAGGCAGAGCAGAGTCCGTTCCTTTTCCTAAATTCTTACTGCTTTGCCCTAAATTCTTACTGCCACTTTAAGATATATTCGCCAGAGGAGCACTGGTTTTCCAATACTCTGTTAGTCCTATTGGCCTTTGGGCCACCGGTGCTGGATTTTAGGAATTTCCTAAAGTCCGGCTTTGTGGCATCCGAACGCTCCTTCCCGGAGCGC